CAAGTGAATGGGGTATAACCTTCGACGTAGTGGTCCAATCGTGAAAATTCTGGCCGTTTTGGATTCTTCGGGCCAAAATCTATGTCGCAACGGATTTAAATTTAACCGTTGTCCATAAATTCAGTCGAAAAAAGTTGCATTCGGCTCTCTATAGGTCCCTACAATTTATAGTTCCTCTCAAAAATTCTTCTATAAATCTTTCACGGGTCCAATTTCATGTATCCTTCAATTTCCCATTAAGTGCAACTCAAATTTTCCTCCTGTTCCAAACACATCAACTTTAAAGTTTCCTTCTCATGTTTATTTGAAGTTGCTCTTTAGTCTCATCAAGTTCTAAGTTTCTCTCTTCTCCGAGGAATAGATGATCCTCCGGGAACGTGAATTTTTCAGTGTATATTGCCATTGCCATTGCCAATCCCCACCATTTACTCGTTCAACAGTACGACGGCGAAAACTGCCGAATCTTTTTGCCGCACCCTGTATGATGATGATCAAATTAGGGAAAAGTTGCGCAATTAAACAGCTATTATGATACTGTAAAGAAAACTAGAAAATTCCGATCACTTTTGAAGATATGCCAGAAAACCCGAAATTTGCCGATTTTGTTTTTATTATTTCCTGATGAAAATGAAAATAAAGAACACTTTGGCATTGCCACTTTTTGCTTTACAGGACAGGGTTGAGAGGTTTTTAATACAAAGTTTCGTTTCGGAGCAATCATTAACTTTATTTTTTATATGACCCGTAAAAAAAGTACATACTGTATTAAGTAGAAGTTTTTTATTACGAATACAACGATGTACCGCACACACAAAAAAAACAAAAGTTGGAAACTGTTGGTTACAACAGGACGGTGCACCCACGCACAACGCCCCAATAGTGTGAGAATATCTATCAGTGAAATGACCTGGAAAATAGAAAATTTATCCGGTAGGTATTCGCGCATGATTAGGACTTAGTGCGCAGGTGTACCATCCTGTTAAAACCAACAGTTTCCAAATTCCAAGCTCTGTTTTTTGTGTGCTGTGTATAGTTGTATTAGTAATAAAAATACTACTCAATACCGTATGTAGTTTTTTTACGGGCCATATAAAAAATGAGGATGATTTCTCCAAAACGTATTGAAAATCTTTCAACGGTATCTTGTAGAGCTAAAAAGTGGCAATTAGAAAATGTCTTTTATTTTTTTTGGATCTGGTCAAACAATATCAGAAAAAAAAAACAAATCGGCAAATTTCGGTTTTTCTGGCATGTCTTCCAAGTTTCATTTTAGATCATTATAAAAAGTGAATTGTAGTTCCGCAATATTCAGGGGTAAATACACAAGAGCTTAATTTTTAATTGGATAATTTTATTTTTACACATTGTTACACTTATGCTTTTGATCGAGAGTTTTTTCCAAGAGGCAACAAAAATTGAGTAAATTTAAAAATAAAATTATCCTGATATAAAAACCAAGATCGAGTGTATTTTAGGAAGTTTAATAAGGCAGTAAATTTCACAACCACTATATATTTAACGCTTTTCTACACGCATTTTTATCGCTGATAAAAAACGACCGTGCGTTTAATCACCTAAAAAATTATCTGATGGGTTAGAATTTGAAACAATCACCTGCTGATTGGTCGTACATTAATGGAGTGTATTAATCAGCATAAATTACGTGCATAAATCGTGACGAATAGTTATAAAAAAGTGCCCGTCGTAGTAGAGTTGCAAAAACTCGTAATCGAGGCGTTTCAGTTAGTAAAGAACACAATCCGTCTGTATAAACATACGCAAATTCCTTAAAAAGATTCACCGTCAGTGGAATAAAGTAAAAGGAAACTGAATTTTAGTTCGTGTGCAACCCGAAATTGCAACAAAGAAAACTGTTAGTAAAATTAAATAATATTCAATGAGTTCGTATTTGTGCCGCTAAGAAAAAGACAGTTAGTGTACCTAACTAATTCAATGTAACAAAAGGAGATGCATTCTTAATCCCGTTTAATAAAAAAAAAACAAAAGAAATTGTCACCACTTATATGTAATCGAGCTACCGGTGCAAAATGGCACCCAATATTAAATAAGTAAATAATTTTCATTCTGTACCCATCTCCTTGCTCGCTTGACTTGAGTCCTTGTGACATTTTTGTCTTTCCGAGATTGCAAACTATCAAAATATGTTATTTTGGGACATTGGAAAATTGACGGTAACTGACCAGCTGCAGTTTATTCCAAAATGCAACTTAGAAAAGAGCAATAAATTTAAATATTAAATCGAAAAATACCGTCGAATAGATCGGGATTGCATACAACATTATAGGTATTTGATTATTTTTTTGAATCTTGTCAAATAAAAAAAGATATTGTGGTGACCCTCTTATTTGGAACACACCGTATAGGTCAAGTAATTTTTTTAAATCGCTTGAATCTTTCTCTGGTGCGCTATCGTTTTGAAAAGACAATTTAGTTTGCTATCTGTTTGGATTAAAATATACAGGGTGTTCCATTTAAAAAAATGAGGTTAGGTCCAATAGCTGTGTTACTTGACCCAGTATATTTATTTTGAAAACGGTAGATTAAGCAATAATAATTTGTAATTAGCACATTTCCGATAACTTAATAAACGAAAAAATTAGAAGTTTTTATCAAAAAATCTGTATACCAGTTTAGTTTTAAACATCGCGTTTATGTCAAAACAAGTAAAATTGTGCACAACCCTTGTCCAGGTAAAGCGCATTTTTTTAAACACCCCTACGAATAAGAAACACCCCATAAATAAGAAAGTTGGCACTGCACATCCTACACAAAGCTAAATTTGGAAAATGGCGCTGCATCTGCAATATCGGCACTCAATTAATTTATATATATGCATTTGTAGATATGGTCTTTAAGTTATCCCGAACCTTTGTTTTCCCTTGAGATTTTTACTTGCAAAGCAATGGATGACGATGTACTACTCCAATTCCACTGTCGAAAAAGTAAAGTTGTCACTTTAGTCTTGAGGGTGCAAAAAATTTCACACCGCGCAGTGCCAACTTTCTTATTTATGGAGGGATTTAAATGAATAAGGACATATACAGGGTGTGATCCTTAGGTGGTTTTAAGGAGAAAAGTTTATATCAACATATGTCCTAAACTTAATAAATAAAATTGTGAGTTCAAACAATGTACCTACGGACGTCACTGGTAAAAATTTAAAAACATATTTTACGTCAAAAAAATGATCCTTAATAATTATGGAAAGGTGTGTACAAAATTTCATAAAAATATCTAAGTGATAAAAAATTATGATAAAAAACTTCTTTTTTCTTAAAATTTTAGCACTCTCTAGCTCAAAAACTAAGGGGGTTAGGACATCTGTTGATCTTGATATAAACTTTTCTCCTTAAAATCTTCCGAGGATTCACACCTTGTGTTATCGGCACTCAAATAATTATCACCCTGTATAATAAGGATATACGGCGTAGAGCTTTACTATTTGTTCGGTAAAACTAGAAATAAGCGCAAAGAACTTTGGGAATAAATTGCACCCTCAGGATTAAATTTTCTCTATAACAAGTTAAGTCATACGTTTTTCATAATCCTATAATCCATATTTGCAAATTGATGAAAATAATAATGAAATGGTCGTACAAGGGTCAGGTGGGAAATGAGCAGCAAAAGTGTGTAATTTTAAATTTTAAACATGTTCATGGATTAAATTTAAAATTATGATGATTTGCCAGGGCCGCCTCGTAATTTTAATATTCCGAGGGCGAATTTTCTTGGATTTTCCTTGCGGATTAATATTTCGGGCACAAAAAGTTGCATTATTGATATGCGTGATGCAGTAATTCAGTCTTGACGCTGTTAATTAAATGGTGGTGGTTTATAAAATCAAGTACCTTGACAAACCGCTTGATAGTTCAAGTAATTTGAGGTTTAAATACTTGACTCGACAGGTAATTTTCACTACTTGACTTGAGCTTGACTTGATTCCAAGTCCGAGTCAAGCAGTGAATCCATACTCGTCATCATGCTTAATAAAATAACTGTTAAAATAAAATTTTGGGTAGCCACACAGACCGCCGGACGGATGAACACACTATAGTCAGAATAATGTCTTTTTTTAATTTTTGAAAAATGCGTTATGAATCTAAGCATTTTTCAGAGTATCATGAGTCCTAGCGACCTTATGTTCTAACATAATACAATAATAGTCTTTATTCTTCTTCTATAAACGCAATAATGACATTGAAAAAAAAAGTTATAAACAAAAAAGAGAGAAGAATTACAAGGCGACGATACATCGAGAAATCTTCGTATCCTGTAGGTGGTGCTAACTTTTTTAGTGATTTCGATGATTTGGCAATTGTTCTTTTCCTTACTCTCATGTTATCATCCCTGTATCAAAATCATTGGTGTTATTCAGTTAGTACTAAATAATGTACATCTTACCACGCGAAAGCAGCAACGGCATTGAGATACAATAAGAATTTAATTAATGTTTAATTAAAAATGCAGGATATGAGTATACTATGCAAATTTCGTCGCAGGAGCTCAAATAGACGAACTGTAATCGTTTTAATCCCTTTCGAAACTTACCCTACTAACCGCACCAGACCTACTTTTCAATTTGTATCAAATTTTCAATAACACACATAAAAAAGAATAAGATATCCCCCGACATAGCGCGTACCTACAACGTCGAGTTATGAAAAGACTATAACACATGTAAGTTTCGAGGGGGTGAAATCCCCTAGTGCAAGTGTGTAATATCAAAGGCGCATTTTAACCTGTTGCAACTCCCCCAGAAAAAATCAAGAGAACATAAAAGTTACAACTTGAATGCAACTCAATATAAAAAAGGTTAAAAGATTGAATATGAAATTTTCGGCACGCTTTATGCCGCTTCTAAAGTAATTGGAGGGTGAAATTTGGCGTTTAAAAGCCCAGACGCATACCGATAGATCTGGTAACGGTTTTTTAACACTTTTATGGCTAAATTGCGAAAGTAATAAAATTAGAAAGCTTACCGTATTGCTGCTTTTCTCCTCGTCCGGGCGAATCGATTAATTCTGAAAAAAAAAACATAGTAAACAAACTGATAATTTGGTGATGAGGTAGCCAAATTCTCTCCATTACATTTTCTAAACGAAATACGTGCTTCTCCTTTCTGTTTAAATTATAATATTCTAATAATAACAAAGTGGTATCGTCTAATCTCTATGTGTGTGTCTTACACAACTATTATAATGTAATTAGGTAACGAGCACCTCTATATAGAATTATATTTGATCGGGATTTATTAACCTCTGCCTCGCATTACAAACTTGAACAATATTTCTTTCCGGACGTGTTGTAATACACATGTTACGCCTTCCTTACGAATTAAAATATTTATGTTTTGCATATACACTGTTTTGATTTATGCGATCTTCTCTTTTTTTCCTTTTCTTTAATCGTTTGTGCTTTCGCCGACCGAATATATCTCAAATGTTAAACGAAGATCGTGCGTGATTTGATATGAGGCGTTTTTTTGTTCTATTCTCTAAAATTAATCTCACCAACTGGACTGGGATACCTACCCATAGCTAATCTGATCGAAGTTCATTAATCGACGCGTGAGTGTCATTCGTTTTGTGCCTCGGACTGGGTGCTCGGTCGCCATAATTTATCGTAAATCTCTATTTTCATCCCTTCGTTCACATTTTGTGCTATTTTTGCTTTTACCACCCTATACACTCTAAGTATATTCAAAAATAAATAAAATTTCGTTCGGTTCAGATGAATAACTTAATACTATTTTTTGTTTGATAGGGCAACAAAGCGTAGCGTAGAGGTAAAGGAGAGACGTAGGTACAAAAAAATGAAAATTTCGAAAATCGTAAGAGGTATTAAATCAAAATGCTCTGGAAGTCTTATTATAAAAAATTCGAAAACTATTAACGCACAAAATGTGTACGGTCAGGCAAAAACAGTACAAAAAAAGGTTTCCAGCTTTCAAACATTCTTTCTTCTAAAAATGTGAATAACTGGTAAATTATGCACACAAAATTTGGATGATACAACGTGCGAAATGTCTGTATTTCCCACCTTCCTTTTTAGCGCATTTCCACAAAAATAAAAAAAAAATGCGCTATTGTGGCCACTTTGTCCGTCCGTCCGTCCGTCCGTCCGTCCATCCGCTAACTTTGCGACGCTACTAGTTCTTTATCTTAAGAGCTATTGTTCTACTTTTTTCGCTATTTGGTTCGTTATGGTGTTGAGTCTTGTACCAAGGAAGGAATTTTTTCTGTACCGCTTACAAAAAAAGTTATTGTAAAAAAAACAAAAAACCGTTTTTTTACATGTTCTATAATTTTACACTTTTGCCGTTTATTAACGATCCTAGAGATCGTTTATAATTTTGCATTGCTATCTGTCGTCTGCATGCTGGTCTGTCCGTTTGTTCCTTTGTCTGTCTGTCCATCTATCTGTCCGTGTGAACGATAAGTTTGTTTAGAAATGTTCGATCGCTTTTAAATCTCCGTTAGTTATGAACTGAATTGCATGAAATTCAATATGGGCATAGCTTTAGCCATATAATACGCAATGCCAAAAGTTGGATCGAATCGATTCAAAATTCACAGTGCCCTTTTCGCATCTCGACCATTTATAAACCGAATTGCAAACTTTTTTACTTATAAAAGTATTTGAATGAAATATGATACATAGGCACTTGTAATAAAGGAAAATCAAACGCCAATTTCAAAATTTGGTTTTGCGCATGCGCAGTGCCAACTTTTTTATTTATGGAAGAATTTAAATGAAATGTGATACATAGGCACTTGAAATAAAGGATCATCGAGCGCCAGTCTCAAAATTTTCTTTTGCGCATGCGCAGTGCCAACTTTTTTATCTATGGCACCATTTAAGTGAAATTTGATACTTAGGTGCTTGGAACAAAGGAAAATCTAACATTAGTTTTAAAATTTGGTGTTGCGCATGCGCAGTTCCAACTTTCTTATTTAGAAAAGCATTGAAATGAAATTCTTCTCATAAACTGAAATTGAAGTAACACGTCAAAAATGGATTGCCCATGTGCAACGCTATCTTTCATATTTGTGGCCGGATTTTTACGATTTTATAGAAGTTGCATCTTACAAATGGAGAATGCAAGTGGAAATGCGCTTTATGTAAATCGTTTACGATTACTTTTTAACTTGTTAAATTCTGGACCACATTTTTATGATAATCGGTGATGGCATGGAGTTGTGGAAACAAACAAGTCCATCGTGTGTTATTGTTTCCCTAAATACTGATTTTCAACATGAAATTTAGTTTTTTTCTCAAATTTTTTTAGGAAAAAGCTTCAAAATAAATATAACACCTAACTGTGATTGTCAGTGGCGTAGCTAGGGCGTATTGTGAAGAGAATTTCTCCACGAGATGCAAAAGAGTACTGGGGGTATTTCTTTTCACATTTTTAGTATCGCATTCGGTTTTCGTGTATTTTTGGGGTGAAATTTCACTAAAAATACACTTACTGAAACAATATTTACACCAATTTTTAAAATTCTTGGCTTAAGAAAGAATTAAGTGTAACAATTTTGAGTTAAAAAATATATTCGGATCGTTTTTAAGCATTGCATGAAATAAAGAATCGAAATGGGCATATTTTGACAATACATGTTCCTATAGCTATCTTTAACAGTTTCTGACTTATTCCCATTTTATTGAATTGACACTATTTTTTTCGGATTTTCTTTTTAGTAGTCGGCCATGATTTTATAACAATCGAATTTTAAACAAATCTAGTGACACTAATCCGTCACCTACTGTTATATTAGGTTAACATAAGTTTTTCAAAAATCGAAAAATGACTCGCAGTGGTTTCACCTATTTTGGAATTGAATTGTTATTTATGGTGAAATGGACAGAATCGCGGCACGTGCTTGCCGTACATTCATTCGAACACTGGAACGAAATTGTATGAATTTTTGAAATGTTGTACCCCCAAAGGCACTACAAACCGTTGAAGCACAAGTGATACAACGCTCTACAAGAGAATATTTAAGAAAATGAAGCAAATGCAAGATTAACAAAATAAATTCATTGCAAAATATAAAAAACTTCGTTGAAACATTTTTAGTATGGAATTGTTGCTAGAACATATATCGCATTACCTCCCTGAATTTCCAGACTTATACGTTGAATGACTGTCTAGATTTCTCAAAAATTTTCCGTCCTATATCCTTAATAAATGACTAATAAATTATTTAGACTAGAATCAATGATATTAAAAAATCCTTTCCTTGATTTGTTTAAAATTCGATTGTTATAAAATCATGGCCAACTACTAAAAAGAAAATGTGAAAAAAAATGGCATCAATTCCGAGATCAATTCAATGAAATGGGAATAAATTAGAAACTGTTAAAGAGCTATAGGTGCATGTAATATCAAAATATGCCAATTTCGATTCTCTATCTCATACAATAGTAAGAACATGGTCATTCCATGTAAAAAAACTGAGTTTATAGACTTTGAAGTTTCTTAAATTTGGATCTCCATAGGTGCGGTTGTACGCAACTTAAATTTTTTTTTAAGTACACTGACATAAAGCCCTATTAATTCTCTATGCACTGATAAAAATGGGTTGCCATCACTATAACCGTCTTCAAGTAATCAATTATCAAGGTACCATCTGCATTCGCCATTTTTCATAAAGTCAAAATAACTTTAAAACCATAAATTTCACGTAGAATCCAAAAATGCAATAAAAAAATAGGGGTTGCCATTTAAAATAACGAAGTTACTATCTACAAAATTACAAAAGTACAAATTTTGAAAAACCTACCTATTTTACTTTCCCAGAAACGTTTAACTAAAGCTCCCAAAAAAACACCCTGTAGAAATGCACACAATTTTTTTTTCAAAATTAAAGAATTCAATTTTTCAATTTTGTTTTTTGGGATTATTACCTACACAAAGTGAATTTTTTTTTAAATTTCGATTCGGTCATCTCCCTGGCCATCTCCAAATGTGCACACAATAGAGTTTGAAATTTCACGATTGATTATTCTCATTGAACAGTCTTTAATACACGATTTTTGGGCACAGTTGACCTATAGGTATGTCACACCGAGGTGCTCTGCCACTGTTTTAGATCCGCTTTAGGGGTTTACTCATTACTTCACTTTTTTGAAACTCTTATTTGATATTTGACGATTAATTTACAAACAGAATTATTAATTTTTTCATGAACATTTTTAAAGAACTTGACGTTTTCATATTAATTCTGGTTTATCGCACTTGCGACTGTACTGTCGGGATGGTAAGCATATGTAACAAAGGTGTCTCCAAACTAATCGTTTAGTAAGAACAGTTCTAAAGAATTTCATCGGAAAGCGCCCATTTTGCACCCATTCCAGTTAATTTTTGTATTTTCTCTTTAGTGTCGTTTAGCGTAGACACTTTTTTTTAATGCGGTGTATTTTTCTCAACGAGATTTTGTTACTTTTACAATACCCGTGGCCAAATGAATAAAATAATATAGAAAAAGAGACGATTTTTGACAATTTTCTTTCGGCTTTCTCGGGGGCAAGACTATAGTATATGGAAATTGTATCAATTGGGATTTTTTCGTAAAACTTTTTGTGTAGGCCTCGTAACGAAACCTTCGTCACGCTTTCTTTGTGGTAAATTGCAACGTCTGATATGTTGATAGATCAAATGGACATCTTTTTTGGGAATATCACTCACACGGTGTCCATTTTTCGAGTGCCACTATGGGGATTTCGCATATCTTAAGAGATAGACATTTGGTTAAATAACGGCAAAGTTGCGAATTTTCGTGTTGAATAATAATCTGAAAAGAAATTTAAAATATCTGCAATAGTTTATTGCAAAAAAAAGAAAATTTTTTCATCGTAAACTAATCGTTCTAGACATTTCTAACTAACACATTATTCAGACACTTTTTAATGGATATTTCGAATATGGCATCCCGTTTTCAATAACTTTTAAGATTACGGAGAAACACGTGGCAACTTGGATTTTGACATTTTGAGATTAGGTCTTTTTTTCTCTTTACAA